GGCCAATTTTTTATGACGGAAAATGACGTCATTGGGTGCGATCGAATTGGCATGAGCTCAGGAACAAGAGGAAAAAAGAATTTTGTTGATAGGCCTTACGGTTCAAAAGTTATTAGCATAATAAAAGTGAAACTTTGGACAGTTGGTGGCGCTAGAGGGAATGAGTTAGAGACACCAAAATTGGTGTATTTAAATTTGGGACTGTCCTCTATCAGAATGTCAAACCAAAACAACTTTCCCGCAAACCGGTCTATGGGCTGCCATAGACGCCCAGTCGGAAGAAGAATAATAATAATAATAATAATAATAATAAGAACCGGCACAGATACAATAGGTGCCTCCGCACCTTCGGTGCTTGGCCCCTAATAATAATAATAAGAACCGGCACAGATACAATAGGTGCCTCCGCACCTTCGGTGCTTGGCCCCTAATAATAATAATAATAAGAACCGGCACAGATACAATAGGTGCCTCCGCACCTTCGGTGCTTGGCCCCTAATCAAAATCTCTTGATAATAGACTCAATCTACAGGCGACAACGCTAATATAGCACACATAATGCACTCCATCAAATGATTTGCCATTAAGCTGTCAACGGGGCTCAGTTCTTGGGCTTGATCTTCATTTTTTTCTTCTTTGTCAGCCTTGATGTATAAACATTGGCTGTACCTGAAAATGTCACATATTTTAAATTAAACCATTTTCCAAACACTCTTTACTTTTTACAAAATATAGCTTTTTATTTTGTAAAGTGAGCAGATATCATGTCAACTGTCATTAATATGTACATTTTTCTTCTTCTACAAAACCAAACCAAGCATGGAGGCCTGCGTTGTACCTCCTATTATTACAATGAGCAGCTGTATATTTGAAGCAGACATTTGAAATTACTCAGAAACTAACACAGTCTCCAGTGAATAAAGCATCTATCTAAAGCCGTCTGTGTTCTGTGATCATAAGCCTTTGAGGTAACAAAGTGACAAAATGCTTTTATTGGTCGGCTCTATTCTTTCATTTCACTCGCACGCCTCCATCAGATCACAAATGCTCAAAACTACTTTAAATTGAGCACAAAAAAGAAGTATAACCTGCACACAGATGCTTGAATGAATTGAAGCTTTAATTTGGCATCTGATCCAGACAGTTCAAAGCCTCTTTTTTTTTAAAGAGAAAATTATTGCTTTAAAAAAAGAGCATTTCTGTTTCATCTGTAATTTCAAGGGTGATCCAAGAGATTCAAATACTTACACTTCCATAAAAGAGCAAACTATTTGAGTCTATAGTGCGGAAAGATGACTTAAACCAGATGTTTTGAGGATTTGAGAAACACAGACATATTTTTAGACAAAGAAACTTATGTCCGGTAATTCTCCATGGAAAATTACAGTCATGCTTGTATCCTGCCAAATCTTTAGGGCTGGAGGCTTGGAGGAGTGATATATCTGGCCTTTCGAGTCTATTTCTTGTCAGGGTCATTTCAGTTTTGTGCGGTCAGCCCTTTCCATCAGATGGTCCTAGAATAGTTTCTTTTTAATAAGAAGGGAATGTTCTTTTGTCTCGCTTTTTCATGAAATGCTCTTTAAGACAAGCCTATTTTAAGTGATATCGAGCATTTGCCTGAAAGAATCTTTACTTAGAGAAAATCTAAATAAAGCAAGCTCTCAGACTGGTGTCAGCAGTCTCACAGTAAGAGGTCATTGAACTCTGACCAGGTGACTGGGTGCTACTGTAGCCTACCCTTAAATATATCTCTTCCACATAAGAATTGTTTTTCACTTATTAACGTGACCTCTGTGTATCTGTGAGGCTCTCGAGTCTGCAAAGAATCCAACACAATAGTGGTAAGACATGCAAGCTTTAATTAACTTAACGTGGGAGGTGTTCAAGTATCCTCGATCCCTCAGGCTGGGGACAGACAGGAGTTCGGCTCAGCTTTGGGTCGTTCAGTAGCGGTGGGACAGTTTTGAGCGAAACTAATCTAATCTAATCTAAATTTACAAGATCATATATTTTTGACACTGTTTTTCTTTGTCACTAACCTCTGAGTATGCTAGAACTCCACACAAACCGCTATTTACAAACAGTCTAGAAAGTCAGTCCTAACAAGCATCTCTAAATGTTTGACGCCATCTAGTGCACACTGTAAGTATTACCACAAAGATGGCAACCGTGGTCCCCGTGAGTAATATGTACAGTATATATATTATATATTTATATATTAATATATATATATTTGCTAGTAGGGCTAAAAAGTGCACAGGAAGAAGAAAATACAATTTATCAATATGTTTACATCTCTCAACCAGTGTTTCACCTGCGGAAAGATATAAATAAAACAGCTTGAGAATAATATCTTACATAGCATTACCTCAGGAATTTAGTGTCGACAGCAGATTAGTTCGCTAGGGAATTAAACTAGCATTTCGTATATTATTATGCACTTTATTAGCCAATTCATAGCTACTCAATACAATGTCTTGATTATTAAATGTATGGTCAAATAAATTTGTCATGAAAACAGGTTATGACAACCACAAATTATTATGTTTCAAAAATGTTGAAAAAAGTTGAAAATGAACTTTAACATTAGATTTAGAAGTTAATGCAAAACCTACTTTATGTGAAAATAAAGTGCATTAAAACATTATGGTTTCCTAAAGGGTTTAAGGAAGGAAATCCAAGAGGGTTCATAAATTTAGGATAAGCTAATAATGAACTAATCGTAAAATATTAAATGAAAAGAAATAAGTATAAAAAAGAAAATACTAACAAAAATATAAAATATATGATTTGTTTATGTGGCCTCCCGTAGGTTTCTCACCTGACCAGTGGATGTTTGCAATTCCACAAAACTGGAAGACTTTCTGAACATACACAACAGGCTTTTCTTTCTTTCTTTTCTTAAAAAAAGAAAGGGAAATTTTAAAGATATAAAAGAATAATTAGGGAGGATCAATGAATTCTGAATAATGCTCTTCCATTTTTAAAGATTAATGTAATCAATAAAAAGCAATTGTAATCTGATAATAAGCCAAAATGTAAAAATCAAATTAAACTGACTTTCATATAATGTTACTACACCCATATGAATGTGACTTACATGTCTGTTTGTTTTAGTCCGCTCAGACATTGCTGTTTGCTTAACAGCTTGACAAAGGTCTGTTCAGATGCATTTGGTCTACAAATAAAACACAAATGAGCAGCTGCTTAACAGTCCAAGTCAGCCATGAGTTGGATCTCTGAGTGTGTGTGTATCCTGCTTGTTCATATGAGTGTCTTGTCTCATCTGTTGACAAATTATCTCTGTGCACTGGTGTTGAATGAAAGTTGACTGCAGACGTCATGGATCTTCTCCATCTTCTGGCTTAAATGGACTCAGTAATGGGATGATATTCATCTTATTCTTGTCTCTGCTCATCTGGAACATCAGGCTAATGACTCTGATTGGGTTTTGCCACAGAGAGTCACCAGACGGGGCCGACAGAACCCATTTACACACTAATATATAATCCCTTAAGATTTGAAATGTTTTAGGGGAGATATTAGGGGAGACACGAAAGATATTTATAATGTTACAAAAGATTATATTTTAAATAAATGCTGTTCTTCTGAACTTTCTATTAATCAAGGAATCCTGAAAAAAAAAGTACACAATTGTTTTCAACACTGATAATAATAAAGAACGTTTTTTTTTCTGTGCATTATATCTGCATAGAATGATTTCCGAAGGATCGTGTGACACTAAAGACTGGAGTAATGATGCTGATAGATTTTTAAAATAGAAACTAGAAAACATTTATTTTAAATTGTCACAATATTACTGTTTTTTTAATCAAATAAATGCGGCCTTGGTGAGCAAAAGAGACTTCTTTTAAAAACAAATCTTACCACTCTAAAACTTTTGACTGCTAGTGTTCATGCAACACATTTCAAAATTACAAATGTTTGAATTGTTTTAAATGATGGAGCAACAGTTACTCATTGTAAATCGTCTCTAAAACAGGCTAACTGAGGAAAAAGTCCAGCATCATTTGTTTGCAGGGAGGGGCTACCTATTTAAAAGTTTGATATTGTATCTAATGCAATGAAATTATGTCACTCCCCATCATTTCTATGTGTGATTAACGCCTTAAAAAGCCACTGCATAACATATATATATATATATATTTTTTTTTTTTTCGAAAAAAGAACCACTAGATGTCACCAGAGCAGTGACATCTCCTAGAGAGCTTTAATATTGTGACGAGGAGGGATTGATGGGTTTCTCATTATTTCCAAAAGAAATTAACACTGCTTTTAAATATTTGTATACTCTATTTTTTATTAATCAACGTTATACTGTCATTAAATATTCTGAAATACGTTTACAAGGAGACAAATGTTCAAAGTCAGGCTACATTAGCATTTTCTTGTTAATTCAAAGATAAAAATAATAAAACTAATAGGCTAAGTTACTAATAATAGTAGGTCTAATTGAATGTCACACTTTTATCAAATAACCTGACATATGGTTAGGTAAATTTTACAAAGTTATACAGTATTCGCCCACAGTCATAAACGCATAATAACATAATAATAGTAGTCTACGTTAATTGTATGAAATATAAAAATGTGTTTAGCTTAGGCTACACAATAATGCGATAGCTAACAGTTTGATTTTCCATGCATAGCCTACATCAATAACATGTTCGCGTCCTGAACTCAAAATAACTCTCATCAATTGCCATTTTGGAAAGTGTTTGTATGGGCGAGCAACTGTGACACACATTCTCTGTTTTTAACTCACCCGTTATTTGACGACAGAGTGGTCAAAGTAGGTCTCCTCCATAAAATAGATATATTTTTTTTTTTTACTATAAAACGCCTCAATTGCAGGTCAGGAAAATACACCTGAGGATGAGGACGTGAAGAGGGCAGCGCTCCTGATATCGAGGGAGGAGGAGTTACAACACGATCACCTAGTAACCACTAACGTAAACTGACCAGAAGGGTCGTAAATACGAAACCCGATCCGCGGAGTCGGATCTTTTGTGCTGCTGCCTCAACGCTTGCAGACTGAACTTGTCTCGAGATTGAGAAGGCAACCTTTGCGAATTTTAAAGCAATAAACAAAAGGGAATGGGAGTGTGCACGCAACAAATGGACAACGTGGGAAAGCGTCGATGCACGCGGATGATGAAAAGAGACTGGAGTTCATAAAAATTGACAACGAACGCTTCCTCGAGCGAGTGGGATAAACCCGTATTACTTTCACACATTTTTATTAGGTAGGTTGTGGAATTTGCATGTCATCATTGCGTGTGGTCATATTCCTGTTTCCAATGTTTTCTACCGTGAAATGTGTATGAACTTTTATTAACTTCTGTATAAAACCGATAAAGTAACATTGCTAAACCGAATGGATGGTGAAACTTTTCTATTTTGCACTGATGATAATGAATTACAAATTGCTCTATAATAATAATTATTTATTATTATTATTATCATGCCAATCACCATTCAGCTCTTTCGTATGATATTGATATTATCAACATGATTCCTACATCTCGTTCCGTGTTATGTTGCTTAGAGTGCATCACTAACTATACCCACGTTTGCCATTTACTTATCAAACCAACAAAGTCAAAGTTCCCGAGTGCATTACTCGATCATGTTTACCTGCTTTTCCACTACTCTAGCCGTTATATTATCCGCAGTTAAATATGTTCTACAGTTTTCTTGTCCATGATTGACGTGGAGAGTTGACCATTGACTCCAGCGGTCAGAGTTTGAATGGTCAGCTGCCGACATGGTTTAAAAAAACAGACGTTTTCAGCTTTTTACGTGTTGTTTATATGACTTGCAATAACTCAACGTCATCTCTAAAGAAAGAGAACTTAAACTAGTTTATGTTGTTTGTTCAAGCGTCAACGAATCACTGTAAAAACATTTTGTTGGTTTAACTTAAAAAAGTAGGCTAAGTTACCTGCTGCCTTGATTTTGAAATAAAAAAATTGAGTTAATACAATGAAGGGCAATTTTTTTTACAGAATATTTACAAAGTTAACCTAACTAGTGAAAGGATGCTTTGAAAGTTTCTCTGAGCTGATTTCATTGTGTGTGTGTGTGTGTGTGTGTTGACAGGAATTGTATGGCAAATTAGTTTGTAATGGCATCAGGGCTCCAGACTGCAACTTAGTCTACGTTCAAAATGCAGGCAAATGTCGCCCAAATACGATTTTTTTTTTTACTCGCATGTGACTCAGATCTGTTTTTCTTATGGAATATGACCACGTGAAACCTGATCTTGTTCAATTCTGATTTGTGCCACTTCCATATGTGGTAAGTCTGAAGCCCTAGACATGAAGCTTTCTAAATGATGGTGTCAGGGCTTTCATTTTTGGGTGAACTATCCCTTTAAGGATTGTTCATGTAGGTCACCCACTTGCTTTCACACACTACAGCCATCAATCATAAGAGTGTAAAGTGCAAGCTGACATCTACCCCCCTCACATTTGTGCTTGGCTCCTGTTCGGTGAGGTTTCTTACAAGCACAGCATGGATAATTTATTGCTCTTTATCTGGTTGGGATAGTGACTGTTAAAGTTGCAGCATAGCGGCTCGGCCGCATTGTGTGATCAAACATTATTGACTCGAGCAGTCAATAGCTGTGACAACTGTGGTTTTTCATTTTCAAAACCACAGAGAAGTGGAACTTAAAGCAGCACGCAACACAATCAATTGCCCAGCGTGCATTGTTTAAACGTTTATAAAGAACAAAGAGAGCCTGTTTTTAAAGGCATTCACGTATCATTTACATTTACTTACACTGTTCTTGAGTCGATTAAATTTTGAATTAGTCAGTGTTGACTTTTTTTCCGCACTGAAGCGCGCGTGTGTGTGATACTAATGAGATAACTTTGACACATTTTAAAAACTTTTGGATTTCTTATGACTTTTTGGAGTCTTGCGAATAGAAATTAATCAAAATATTGTGAGAGAGTATTGAGTGAAGTTTGCATAGCGTGACAGGACTCATTGGCATTCCCAAGCATCATTGTTTAAATTCATTTGCGAGGGTAAATGTTGAACACTTTTTTACTAGAAACTGGATTTATTTCGCAGTGCTGAAGCCCAGGTTTGTTGTGGAGCTTTGAAACTGGTGTTGATGAATCATCTTGAAAACCGTCACCATCTGCCAGACGTTTTCCAGGTCTGTTTACCTCTCTCTGCATGATGTGCCTTATCCCTTCAGAAGAAGTTCTGCGCTCTATATATACTAAGTCTTAAAAGTTGTGAGCAGCGAGCGCTTTGTGTCTTTTTCTGTATAGGAAACCTGTCCGGTAAAAAGGATGTCTAGTTATCCGAGCTCTCTCTCTCTCCAAGATGAGGTGTGGTTTTTATTGGACCTTTTTCCCCGCTCGTAAAGTGCTGAGGGAGAGGCAGAATATGACTACAGCTTTACTCACATGAGCCTCAAAGAAACCCACGGAGAAACATCAACTTGCATGCTCCTGGGGCAATTCACACAGAACACGGTTTTTCCCATTCCACTGCGCTACTTTTCCATCGTTTTTCAATAGATAGATAGACGTGTTTGCACTATTTTTTCAGCAAACACTGTGAAACGATCAAATTTCAGACATTGTCACGGGAACTAACAGTAACACTAACACAGTGAGCCGACAAAACCTGACAAAGTGTCTGTTGCCATCTGTTGGGCTACGTCGTTCGTCTTTTTGCAGCGTCCCGAGCATTTCTCAGTTAAAAGACGTTCGACTTTCGAAATCACTTGCTCTCTTTTTTTTTGTTCCACTGACCTGCGTCTTGCGTTTTTGCTGTCAGAGGAACAACAACTCTGTGTGAACCGGCCCTTACTGATGGTTTCATGCTTACAAATTGGCTACAAACATCATCAATTGATTTGCTTTATTTATTTTTTGCCATTTTTCCAAATCCTTTTGTTTTTCATTTGCTTCCTGCCAGTGTCTTGTCAGACATACATCTTTAGTTGTTCTTTTTTTGCATATTCATTATTAAAGGCTTTGTTACAAAAAGTACAAAAATATGGGTGGTGATGGTGCAGTGGATGAGACACATGCTTTTGGTGTGAGAGAGCCGGGTTCGAATCCACTGTGAGACACCAATGTGTCCCTGAGCAAGACACTTAACCCTAGTTGCTCCAGAGGTGTGCGACCTCTGACATGTATAGCAATTGTAATGCCTTGTTCACACTACATGATTTTAAAACGTTGGGCTGAACTGTGTGGTTTTAAACTACATGACTTGCTCTCAGTGAAATCAGGAGTGTTCAAGTTGAGCTGTTCACACCACACAACACAACGTGATTGATCCACAACAGAAGGTAACACACTACACAACGATTCTATCTTGTCTACAAACCATGTTTTGTCACGAAAAATCACGCGATAAGACGAACCGGAAATGACGCAAAACAGCACGTGCAATGCCCAGCGAAGAAGAGAAGAACACAACACGCGAAATATGGATGTCAGAGAGAAACTAATGCTTCAAACTGTTTGCACAATGATTTGCTCTGAGAAAAAAAAATGCAAAAAAAGAAAAAAAATAAGATTTACCCGGTGACCTCAACCCATGCCTTGCTCTTATTGGCTGCAGCTCATGACATCACTGAGGTTGAGTCGCGCGATATCTATGCTAGATATTTTTCTGGGCTCGGCGACGCGTCTGCGAGCATCTTTCATGCATTGTTGGCTCTTTCATACTAACAGATTGGCAAGCGTTCATCATCCGCTAATACCCCGCGATTTGCACGCGATAACACCCTGACCTATCGGCGAGCTCAACGATTTGCAAATCGGGCCTAAATCGGGCTTAAAATCCTGTAGTGTGAACTTGGCTTAAGTCGCTTTGGACAAAAGCGTTAGCTAAACGAATAAATGTAAATGTATTGTTTTGTCATTATGCGACAAGGCATTTCCTGAAGATTACCATAATTATTTTAATTAGGAGAGCTGAAATATGATTTGTGGTTTTAATACATGTTTCCAGTTATGTCTATTGAATAATCAGTGTTTATCACCTTTGGGTAAAGAATCTATGCACGTGTTCCACATTCGTTACGCAGTTGTTTATGGGCTTAGATTGCTGTGCCATTATTTTTGGTTTTGGTTTAGTTTTTCCCCAACCGGTCTATTAATACGTTATCAGGTTTCAGATCAAACTGACTTTATATGACACGTAAAAGCAAAAACTGTGGTTGAGCGCTTTACATGCTGGTCTCTTCCTGTGTAAGTCTGTGTTAAGTGGGTTAGACTTTGTGTGGCAATAGTCAAAAGCCTGGCAACATGAGACTACCATTGCAACTGTGCCAAACACATTAAAACACTTTTATTATGAAACACTATTATGAAAGGCTTTGTGTGCAAAAGTGTGTACTTTAGGAAGGTTTTGTTCTCATTAAAAATGTTTCTACCCTACTTTATCCAATATTTAGTCAAATACTTAATTCAAAGTATGCACGCTGCTGCCTTGTTTAAAACCGTCTTTTGAATTCGAGTTATGTAATCACTGAGTCGTATATCTAGTTTGACTCGGACATATTTGACTAGCCCGGTCATGCCTGAATTTTCTGCTGCATGTGCAAATTGACTTTGTATGGATCTCTTCATTTCCTTTCTCTATCTCTGTCTTTTTTTTTTTTTTTTTTGCTGTTGTTGTTGCTATTTTTAGTATGGCCAAAACGATCACGATGACATTTTTCATAGCTGTCGATATCTATGATTATCATGATAAATGTCAAAATCTTTATTTCTTTCAAGTTTAAAGGCAGATTTTTGCTCCTAAATGAACGTTGTAGAAACCTGACCATTAATTGTGAGTTTTAAGCCGTTGTTTATTAAAGAAAATGACACAAACTGAATGTTAGGAGTCAGACTTGTTCGGCCAACACAGATTTTTTTCCACTGACTTGAACCCAATTAGTTACTATAATGCATCTTTTAGCATGGAGATAATTATTTGGAAGTCATTTTTTGGGCCAATAATTGTCAATTTTGTTTTACTGTTTGTATAAGAGACATTGAGAGTTCTCTTAGAGCAACAGTTTCTTTTGCTGGATATCAAATGTCGTCTAAACCCTCTTAATAAATGCATTTTAATTCTTTAATCTGTACTCTAATAGGCATTGAAAATGCTTTCAAAAAGTTCAAGGTTGGGGTCAGTAAATATATATATATATTTTTTTAATGAATACTTTTACTCTGCAAGGATGTTTTATTTGTCAAAAGTGACAGTACAAACAAGCATAATGTTACAAAGGATGTCTATTTCAAATAAATACTTTTCTTTTAAACTTTCTGTTCAACAAAAAAATAATGTAGCCTAACACTGAAGACTGGAGAAATGGCTGCTGAAAATTCAGCTTTGCCATCACAGGAATAAATCAGATCTGTTTTTTAAAATATATATTTCATTTAAATTGTAATAATACTTCACAATTTTACTGTTTTTAGTGGATTTGGAGGAAAGAAATGCAGCCTGGATTACTTCCTTCAAAAACATAAAAAAATCATATGAGGCAAAAACGACTTTTGAACGGTAGTGTACTGTACATCACTGAATTTGAAGTGTTGAGAAGTCACAGTGAGCGTTGCCATTTCAATTTTTAATAATTCCCACCATTCTGTTTCCCGCTCCACAAGGCTGGGCTTTGAATTTTAGATTGAAACAAACTGACACAAGAAAATGCTAACTTGCAGTTCATCCGTTTTCCCCAATAAACTCTTTAGAACAATGTGTTCTCCTGAATGCATTTGAAAGAAGCATATAACTGCACCATTAATACAGCATGGCTGTAAATCTGATTTAATTTCTCTGTTTCAGGTAGAGTGGATTACTGATGTTGCAGCTTACTGCCTGAACTCGACGTAAAACCAGAGAGCCCTCCTGTAAAACATGGTGAGAGGGGCTCTTGCAACATTGCTGCCAGCATGGACCACTCTAATTAAAGTGAACGTGATGGGGATGATAATTGTATTACACATAGCAATGATGGAACACTCGCATTGACGAAGACTAACCGCATCCATCTTCAGTGCGCTGCAGCCAATCAGCATGCTGCGGTCGCTCAAATTTGGCCGCGTCTACCGATGTGGCAAGTTCCTCTTCATCGTAGCGCTTTTTGTGATCCTGCTGATGAACACTCACAACCTGTTCGCCTCGTTTCAGAGGAACGAGCTCACCGACCGCCGATTCATCGGCCTCAACAAGTGTCCGGCCTGCTTCGGCACCAGCTGGTGCCGCAAGTTCATGAACGGCCAGGTGACCTTCGAGATGTGGGGTCGCCTGCGTTTCCTAGACTTTTTCAATGTAAAGAACGTCTATTTTGCTCAATACGGGGAACCCAGGGAAGGAACGCGCAGGGTCGTGCTCAAGCGCCTGGGCTCCAACCAAGAGCTGGCAGAGATCGATCAGAAGATCTGCAAACGGGCCACTGGTAGACCACGCTGTGATCTCATTCAGGGTATGTACAAAACGGAGTTTGCCCGACTTAACGGGGACGTAAGACTGCTGACCCCAGAGGTGGTGGAGGGCTGGTCGGATCTGGTGCACTGCCCCTCGCAGAGGCTTCTAGACCGGGTGGTCAGGAGGTACGCGGAGACCAAGGACTCTGGAAGCTTCCTGCTGAAGAACCTTAAGGACACGGAGCGAATGCAGCTGCTGATGACGCTGGCGTTCAACCCCGAGCCTCTCGTGCTGCAGGTATACACACACCAGTCGACAAAACATCTGCTTTAAATGAAATTCCAGAGTTGCTGAATCTTTCTTTTGATGCGGAAGCACCGTGTCTGATGCCTGCTTGAAAGTTCAAGGGATTAACGCTGCATCTTTGCATATTTTACAGTTCTGCACAAGGCTGTGTAAATAATAGATACTTCCTGTCTGTCGGTGGTCACTAAGAGATGTCTCTGATTTGGGCAACAGCATGCTTGTCTTGAAGAATTCCTTTCTGCAAACATAAATCTTGGGTATTTGTCATTCCATAAGTAAATTTGGCGTTTAAAGACACCAAGGTGGTGGATTGTTCTCAAAGATTGTCCACAACATGTTTTGGTATGACACAAGTTTCATATGTAGAGTTGTGGGATATTGACTGAATATTCTCAATATTTTCTGTAATTTTGTTGATATTTAGATATAATTTTGCTGAGTGTGTGTTTGATTGCTTGATTGGTTTTGGACAGCTGACTCCCAAAGCTTTTCATGTTCTGTGTGCTGGTCAGTTGTCAGTAGTGACACAATTTTAGCCTTTCCATTGAGGAGTGATGTTTTCCCCCTTAAATTGATTTTTTGGGGATTTTTACCTTTTATAATGACCCTTTTTTAAGTTTTATATCTCTTCTGATGTCAAATTCTCATATTTATTTAACACATTTTAGAATATGAAATTAGAATCAACAAAAACAGACATAATTGTGTCTAAAATGTAACTCAAATTGTTAACTTAGTTTAATGAATAATGATTATCGCAATCATGCAGATATTTGGGAAAAACAACACTCTTGCTTGGGTGATATTGCCCAACTATAGCATTGGATACATAGAAGACAAAACTCATTGGGGAGGGATTTGGGGCTATTATATATCGTACATGATACACATCCCTATTCCCACTGTATTTTTTTTCTAATGTTTTCATTCACACCAATGAGAGACCTTGACAGCTCTCTTTTCTTTTTGCACCCCTCTGTCTGGTATTGATTTTTACACCCAGCTAATCTATTCCAATTTCTTTTGCGATTGACCCAGCTTGTCGAAGGCCTGGGCAAACAAAAGGACATCTCTGTGAGAGCAGCCAATATCCGTTCTCGCCTCCCATCATTCACTCCATCTGCCACACCTCGGGCATTCTAGGTGATAAAGGCAATCTGATCTCTCTCCAGAGAGCGGGGCGCTCGATTTGATTAGCAACATACAGTTTAGCCTCCCTTTTGCCCTGCAACCTCTGCAGCGGTTTGGTCAACATAATGAAATGTCATTAGTTTGCTGTGGATGCCGCTAATGAATTGGCTCCTAATCCATAGATGTGATTAAGTGTGATATTCACGCTTGCTGTTCTAAAAAAAACATGATGTTCAAGCTAACAGATGCTTGTCTCCTCGGAATGCTCTAAATCATTCATCAAACTTCCTGAAGCTAAGAAAAACCAGTGTTTCTGGTTTTCCAGAAGTTGTAGCAACCTTTTGCTGTTTCAGAAAGGCAGGCAAAATCTACTTTCCAATCGGAAACCTGAGGCAGCTGTCAGTCAGGGTGTTTGAAGGTGCTTCCAAAGCACCATAAAGTGCTGAAAAACATTGAAGAAAAACATGATCATTTATAAAATTATGCGATATGCGAGACGATAGGCCTTAAAGTATGTAAATCAATAGAAATTATATTTCAATTTGGAAAGTAATGGAAGTAGAGAGCGACACATTTTTTTTCTTTCGTATTGTGACTAACATTCGAGTGAAACGGATTATCGAAAGAGGAAAAAAAGGAAGAGTTGGGGCTGGGTTTTACCTAAGGAAAGTTGATTTGGATGAAGGCAGATCTGAATACGAGCTTGCAGTCGATGCTAAGAAACGGGTGGGTTTAAGCGGACTAAACGATTGGATTTTTTACCTCTATTGCACCTCGCTTTTAAAACAATGTTTCACTGTAGATCGTAATTAGTACAGTAATACAACCCCAACATCCTCTGTTGAAGATGTAATTAATTTGCGACATTGACTGCAATACATTTCGATAATGCAGAGATATTGTGCAGGTGCAGTCTTGACTTTGAATACAGTTCTTATTTTCCTGTAAATATAAATAAATATATATACAGTATATATATATATATATATATATAGTATTTTAAATTACATTTTATATCCTCATTTCAGTCAATCTATTAGATACCATTTTTTTATTTCCACCAATGGTTGATCCACTCACACAGGATTGTGGGATTTTATAGAGTAAGCAACAAAGTACAGCCTTCAGAACCTTTTTTTATACACTTACATTGCATTCGGACATTCTTTGTCTTCCTTCCTTCATATTCTGCTTTTGAAGACAGTCCATTTTTGCACACTATATGGCCTCCTATACTGAATTTCTGTACGTTGGAAAGCCAGATATAGATTCTGTCATACAACATTTTTCCGTTAGCCCTGCAGGATGGATCTGGAGTCACTCAAGTTCAGATTTTTGTGGTCTCTTTATTTTTAGGTTTGAGTATAAAAAGAAAGAAAAAAAGAACGGAGTAATTTGTTGTGTTTGGAGTTGGCGGGAGGGAAAAGAGCCTATGGAGCCGGAGACGAGCAAGACAGTGAGAGGATTACAAAATCAGCGTGTGACAAGAATTCAGATGCCCCTTCCTGTAGATGTTTTTTTTAAAAGCTTTGTCCACTGGGCATTTTTACTTCCTATTAATAGCAAGAAAAGGTCAGAAACACAATTTGTTCCCCTCAGCCTGGTATTGTGTCAGATTGTTGTGAAATATGTGTCCCTGGAAAAAAAAAAGCTGCTTGCACTTGACTTTGTGCTTGCATTACTCGCGCCTCCTTCCTCCATTGAGAACGTAGCCCATCTGCTCGGTCGGGCTGAGAATAGCACAAGCAGAGCCCTGAGGGTCACGTCCATCACGGCATTAATCTTGCACACAGCCCAGTGCTCGGTGTGCGCCTCCTCTCCCTTCACCTGACAATGAGGTTATTATGAGGTTGCCATGCCTGGAGCACCTTCCTAAACAGTCCCAGAGCTGACAGGAGTCAACCGCTGTTTGTGTGTAAGGCTTTCACAAACAAGACTGCAAGGTTGTTAAGGACATATTATTTAGTGCATGTAAACCCGTGAACTCTCCTACCTTTTGAAGAATTTTTTCCAGATAGTACCAGCAAGTACTTTAAAAAGTGATTCCTGGAGTGAGATTCTTGAAAGTTTTTAATTTAGTAGTTTTTCCCTTAGTTTTTTTTTTTATATATATATCTTAAAAAGTACAACAAAAAGGTCGGGGCCCGTTCATAAAGAATTTTAATGCAAAGAGTGGCACCTAGTGACAAAATTCTAAGAAAATTCTTAGAAATGTGGGCGTTTATATTTTTAAAATTAAAGAAAAAGCCTAGTAAAGAAAAAAGTAATTCAGAGAGTATCTTAACCCTTAAAAGAGGTCTTAAGGTCAAAATTGTTAGGAATCGCTCTTAAGCTTAGACTGCTACGTAAGTGTTTTTAAGCTAAATTAAGAGTTTTCTGAGAGCATTCTTAGAATCTTTATGAATACGGGCCCTGATTTATTATTTGCAGATGATCTCTTACATTTAGGGGAAGAGAGGCAGAAAATGATTAAAGGCGTTTTCACACATGAAAGTCTGCACCAAGGTTTTGATACATTTTATACTTTCAGAAAGTTTTGGTTTGGTTTCACTCTGCAATAATGCGAGGGCTAAGTTCATTGGTCGCACCTCTGAGACACCCTTGCGCCATTGGATGTTCAGTTGTCGCAGCACAGCCTATGAGCGAGCCAGATGCTCAATGTTTTAGCATGTGCAGCTGCAAATGCGTTTTACATATAAGCTTCAGTAAATCGAGAAAAAGGAGTTTCCCAGCACATTCACTATATAAAATTCACTGGAGCAAAAAAAAAGTTCAAAAGGCTCTTTCACGGTGGCTTCAGTCGACTTTAGTGAGGCGCGGTGGTTTATGGGATGAGTAGTTCCTTTGCTCGGAAATTAACATTTGTACACAGTCTTGTACCTTTGACTTTTTTTGGGATTTTCTCTTCGTTTTTTCACTTGAAATGATATGTTGTATGCTTATGAGTTCAGCTGTAGCTGGTTATCCTCAGACATGCTCTAAAACTCTTTAGATATGGATTTTACAAAACGTCAATGGGAGAAATGAATAGGAAATTTACTTCCGGCACCAACGCGCTCTCAGGCTGTGGGCCGGGACTGTGATGCTCTATGCTAAATAAGGCAAGGGTGTAGAGTTACATTCCAGCTATTTCAACGCATTCTCATCCTTTAGCGTCATATAGGTGACGCTATATGACGAAACGGCGAAATACTACGCACATGGCACCCGTTATCGTTAATATAACACGCGCTGTGATGGGTAGGTTTAGGTGTGGGGTGGGGTAGGGTAAGGTAGTAGTCTCATTTTCACGCTAAAGGATTTATGACGCCTTGAGTTCACGTGTTATATTAACGATAAAGGTTGCCATGTGTGTAGTATTTCGCCGTTTTGTCATATAGCGTCACCTATATGAAGGATGAGAACTGGCTGGCTATTTTAAGGAATGAGGTTTTTTTTTTTCAAGGAAAAAACTTTTAAATATGTTATTTTGGTAATCAAAGATGAGTTTTAAGGGATGCATTTTTAATAGAAGTCTATGGGATGAGACATTCTGGAGAGTTTAAAAGCAGAAATGTGCTGCAAAAAATATTATTCTTTTAAACAAAAAGTGTTACTTGAGCTATAGATACTACATAGTATTTTCAGGACTAGACAGATGATTATATATTACCAATGTAGTTCTTGTGGATGACTCTGTTTCGCACATACAAAGTTAGTGATGCACATACAAAGTTTTGCACATACAAAGTTAGTGATTTTATTGCATTAGTAGAGGTTGGGACTCGGGAGGGGATCGTAAAACGTTGCAAGCAGGCTTTAAACTAGCATTACCCGCATGAGCATCAGTGTGGTGTGCTTCAGCTCCAACATGCCCATAT